CCCCCCCCCCCCTAGTACCATTCCTTGTAGGCTGAGTGTTGGATTGCGATGCAAGTACCCTGCTTACGTCTTGGCGCTTTTGTACTTGCGGAAAATCAAGGAACTTCCGTCATCAGTTTTCAGTATTACGACAAACTCGTTCCAAAGGTAGCACTCTCCCTCGCTTGTGTGCTCCCCCCCACTTGTGTGCTCCCCCCCACTTGTGTGCTCCCCCCCACTTGTGTGCTCCCCCCCGCGTGTGTGCCCTCCCCTCCCTTGGAGTATGACGGTTTTGCAGGGTGGTGGCAACGGCTGCGGTGGTGGCTGGTAAGTTTTTCGACGACGTGTACTACTCGAATGAGCATTACGCCTCGGAATTGGGTTTCGAATTGGGTGTATTGAACGAAATGGAGATGTGCATGATCGTGATGTTGAATTACGAGTTGCAGATTGATCCTGCGGTGTTCGGTCACGCGTTGGCTTGTTACGATCGGTCTCGGTTGTGGTACTGTAAATCGCAGCGTTGTGACGCGTTCAGCGGTTTGGGGACGTCACCGCTGCCGTGTCCGGCTGAATTGTTGGTGGCATTGTCAGCAAACTGTTGCGATATAAACGTGTTACCGGCGGAGACGCAAAAGGCCGTCTTTGGCTTTTGGGAAGCTCGCACACGCAGCAACACACGTTTCGAGACCGAGGAGGAACACCTCTGCAAAGCCACGTTGCAAATAAAAGCCAAGTGTATTAACAAACTCCTTACCCAGGTCGTCCACGAATTCAAGACCGAGAAGACGAAGCACGCTGCACCTAACTGCAGCCAAGACAATAACGCCGTCACCGCCAGACTCCTACCTAACAACATTACGCAGCGACTTAAAGCCACTGCTGCCGCCAACTGACTCGCGTAGCAGGGCTCTGACCCCACGCCCCCGGCGTGGTGGGCAGACACACGTGCGTGCCAAGCATATATTGACTGAACATACAACATCCTGTACTGAAAGTATCGTGTACTCAATTCATCGTTTACACACAGTGCTGGACTGAACACCACACAGTCCTGTGCTGAACATTATACAGTCGTACTGAAACATCATAAAAGTCGTACTGAACATACAGTCGTGCTGAGTAGAAAGCAAGTTAGTAAGTAGGTATGTAAGCTAGGAATCGCTACGTGCGCATCTAGAACATACACGACGGGACCACAAGCAACCCGTATTATCGGATCAGGAAGGCGAGGCTCACAAGACGACTCGATCACCAACAGGACCACCCACAGGACCATTCACCCACGTGACCACCCGCTGCGTGGTCCGGACCTTGGTCGACCCGCTGCGGGCCGGGGTAGTTCGGCTGGTCCAGCGTGAGTGGCGCACGTGTGTGCTGCAAGGCACGCGCACGCGCTCTGAGACGTGGTCCACCGGTCGCCTCCTGCGAATCCGTTTGTTTTGATTTCTTCGAGCCGGAGGCGCTCTGCCTCAAAGAGCTTATTCGTATTCTGGTCGGAGGCCGCCTTCTTCAGGCCGGCCTTAGTCGTGCCTTCTTCAGGTCGGCCTCAGTCATGCCTTCTTCAGGTCGGCCTCAGTCGTGCCTTCTCCAGGTCGGCCTCAGTCGTGCCTTCTCCAGGTCGGCCTCAGCCAGACTTGGATTTGGGAAACGCCTTTGGGACCAGATCGTTCCAAGGGTGTCGGTGAGGGTGCGGCCAGTGGGGCCATTTTCGGCTGCAGAAGGGCAGCCACTTTTTTGTCACTTTTTTCCAGAACCGGCTTCCCGTATAACCTGCCAAAACCGCCCCCGCGAATTAAAACAACTTTCGCTTCGGCAAATCGCAAGCCGATCACTCACGAGCGACCGACTGGCTGACTTCAATAACACTACTGGACGTGCCCTTTACTGGACGTACCCTTTACTGGATACGCCACGCACCCTCGGGATCGAGAACCACCAGTTACTTATTGGCAACCGGACCCGCGGACTATCGAAGCGACCGCCGACCGACCACCGATCGACCATTACCGACTGACCCACCAACCGACTACTGACCGGACTGCACACCGAAGTTACGGACCGCGGTGTCATGAGCGAGGGCCTGTTTTGGGCCAGTCACCCGTCGCTGGGCTATGCCCCCGCCCGACGGATCAGCGAGACGCGCGAGTTGCTCGAACTCATGTGCGAAGACGGCACACCCGCCACCGTGCCGAAGTCCAAGGCACAACCTGTGCACCGCAACTCCATGATTGGCGTGCCCAACCTACTTGAACTGGGCGAGTACAGCATGCCCGCCCTCCTCCACAATATACGGGTCCGCTACAAAAGGGTACGTCCCCGCCTTCCAAGACACATTAACCCCCCCCCCCCCCCCC